CCCCGGTGTCCCCTCCCCGCGGGGCAGGGACAGGCGTGCCGCGCCGGAGCCCGTGCGGGGCTTTAAACTTCACTGCAGAGCGAGGAAGTTGTGGGGGTTTTTTGGGGGGGTGTTACCTCCAGGGGAGGAATCCGACTCCGCACCGACACACTCCTCTCCAGCTCCCTCTGTGCAAAAATGAAGTTGATTTCCTGCCTACAGGGACTTTTTACCTTCTTTTCCCAGAAGGGACTTTGATCCCGAACGCTTGCAGAGAAGGACAGTGTTCTTGCCATTTCCCAGTCCGTCTAATAAAAGGTGTCATTTTGTTTTCGGTAAAAAGTCTTTTTGTCTCAGACCAACGCGAAACATAAGTGATCAGACGCTGGTTGAAGCCTGTCACGGAGCAGAAGCTGGGTGCGGGTAAATCAGGTCCCAAATGGCTGAAAGGGAGTTAAGATCAACCTGGTAGCGTCAGACTTAACTGATGTTCTTCTGTCCTAGAGATCACAGCTAGCCCAAGCCCCTGCCCCAAGTAGAATCGGAGACAAGTAAGGGACTTTGTCCGACCCCCTGCTCCAAGCTGCATCATCCCAGCCAGGGCTTTGTGGAGCTGAGCCTTCAAAACCTCCAGGGATGGCGATGGCACAGCATCTCTGGGTAACCTGTTGCAGAGCTTCACCAGAGTTTTTCATAGAGTCATAAATGATTCATAGATGCTAGGGCGAGGAGGGACCTCAAGAGATCCTCGAGTCCGACCCCTGCCTAGGCAGGAAAGAGCGCTGGGTCAGATGCCCCCAGCTAGATGCCTATCCACCCTTCTCTTAAAGACCCCAAAGGTAGGGGAGGGCACCACCTCCCTTGGAAGCCCAGTCCAAATTTTGGCCACCTTTACCTTAATATCTAACTTAAACCTTGCTTGCTGCAACTTGAAGGAAGCAAAGGCTGAAGGCAGAAGGGCCCGCAAGGGTTGTGGGGTGCGAGCCCCTGTGGGAGTGCACCGTCGCCGCTCCCCTTGGGGGTCCTCGTGCAAAACCAGCGTCCTGCCCTTTTATAGTCAGTCCTCGCTGGGACGCGCAGCTTCCAGGTCGTCGTGCGGGGCCATGCTCCTCTCTGAGGGGCAACGCCATCAGTCCTTGTCACGGAGGCAGGATTTCCACCCTCCCAGCTTCACATGCAACTCTCCAGAAAAGCCCAGTGCGGGGAGCCCAAGGCCTGGGACTAGGCCCACGTTGCTTTTCCTCCAGCCAAGGTCTTTTTCCTCCCTCCATTAAAGTCTCCCTGCTGAAATGGCCCTCCCAGAGGCTGAAGTCCCTACTGACCCATGTGAGACCAGTCTGTAAATCTCACTCAGGTTTTCTCAGAGGTGCCCATTTTCAGAACCAGGCACAGCTGGTGCATTGCCCGCTCCCGGCCCCTGGCAGTGACTATAAGGGGCCACACATGCTTCAGCAGTTTGGATCATGCCTGGCAGCTCACCATCCCCTGGCCACGAGAGAGGCATTTTTCCCCTTCTCAGCCTGCCCTTGATCCACCCCGTCTTCCTCTGTCTGCAGTTTCCCCTCCCTCTATGGCACAAACCTCCAAGGAGACTTATCCCCTGGTCTGATCTTCCTATGCCTCTGCTCATTGCACGCCACGGCTGCCTGGAGACCTTGCTATGGTGCCTTGAGCAGATGCAGGGTGCGTGCAGCCTTCCCTCAGCACATGGTGGCCCTGGTTCTTACCACTTCCACGTCGCTTTGCTTCTCTGGTCTCAATTTCAGACCTGTGAAGCCTGCGCCGGGGAAAGAACGGCCAGGGAATGCCAGGCCTTGCCCAGGCAGAAGCCTCCTGGCAGGAGCCGTCATGGCATTGCCACGATCTCATGACAGCTGGAGCGAGAAAGACGCAGTGCGAGGCTCCTTACTTTGAGGGCTCAAGTGATACCTCTGCGCAGGAGCCCGTTTCAGCCTAAAACCAAAGGGTTCGGTCCCATATGAAACAAAGTCGATGCAAAGACCCCCATGGACTGGACGGCCTCGCATCGGCCTGCCAATAACACTGACTCCCTTCAGCTCCACCGGCATTTGAGATGAAACAAGAACCCAGTCTGAATTGCATTTTAATATGTTAAATACCGGTTCAATTAGGCCTGGTTACTCAGAGCAAATGAAAAAGTCCTCCTAGATTAACCTGAGCTCTGTTAATAAAATATTAGAGAAATCCAAACACTTTGCTCTCCAGACCACAGAGTTTTAATAATAATAGCAAGAAAAAAAATCAATCAAAAGCCAAATGAAATCTGCTGTTTATATTAATCAAATAATTTGGCAGAAAAGCCGGCAAAATCAGGTCCCTATTGGTATGATAATAAGTAAATACAAACGTATTACTTTCCAGATCACAAAGTTTAATACAAATAATCAGGAGCAAATGCAATCAAAACTACCTTTCACATCAGCCAAATTCTAATTAAATTACACCAGATTATTCAATAAGGAAGCCGACAAAATTAGGCTCTTATTGATGCAATGGTATGGAAATACAAACATGCTCCTTTCCAGATCACAGAGCTTCAATGCAGGGAAAAAGAGAATTAAGACTTAAAGTAAACAGATTTCATTCAAATTCCAGTGAAGCTGAGTAAGGTCATTGGTCCCTATCTGAACTGTTAGGCTTTTTATCAATAGATCCTTCCCCCCCAACACACACACACTCTTTTTTTCTTTCCTGGACCTTGCAGGATTCCCTTGCTTTGTCCAAGTCCTGAGAAAAAGAAAAGCTTTCTAGTCTTCATCTCACCACAGATACAGTTACCTCTTAGCCACAGGGGTATAGAGGTAGGTGCGGGAATATTCCTACCATGGGTGCTTCCTTTACCTTCAGACAACTGACATCCAACGTCCAGGCTTTGCAGTAGCCAACTGTACCTTGGAGCACAGGAGCAAGCCCGCTGCAATCCATACGCCTGCTCGCCTGCCCGTGTCTCCGGGTCCAAATTCAAAGGTTACGGGGGCAGACCGCGACAGACATGCAGACGCAGGAAGCCTGCTGGGAACAGGGCCATGTTTTAAATGATGCATGCGAGATCCAATTGTCCACAGACATTAGATTTCAAAGCAGATAAAGGTGTGTAGATTAGCCTACCAGAGAAGCTGGCAAAAACCTGGCCCCTGGTGTTATGTGCCTTGGAAAGACTAAATTTTTCAGTGGATCATTGAGTGGATCAAGTCAGGTCAGTCCTGGGGCTGCTGTGAGCATTGGGGCACCTTAGATGCTGTAGCAACCCTCCTCCCCTCCACCCTGTGCTTGGATGGGTTTGGCTATCAGATGAAGCCCTGTCCGGTCCTGGACACTGGTTGCCCAGCTCTTCTTCTCTCCCTCCAGCACCCTGCATTATGGTGATGGCCTTCTTGTGATGTGTCCAAACCGTTGCAGTTTCCTTCATCGCACAACCTCCAACGACGGTTCGTAGGTTCCAGTTTCATCACTGGTTTGCTGCTTGACGGACTTCTTGACCCGGTGCTCAGTATACGAGACATCTCACTGAGTGACACCACCCACTATATACCCGCTCTCCCTGTCTAAGCCCTGCTGCCACCGGCACGTCTGTCTGGGCAGGTGACTTCGCCTGCTACAGGCTTTGTTTGCTCTGCTCCGCAGGCTTTGTCTACATCAGGCAACTCCAGCAAAAAAATTCTCACCTTTGCTTTGCTGGGCCCCAGTGGGGAGCCTGGGGACAGCCAGGGCTGCAAGAGAAAGCAGGGACTACGTATCAGAGCAGTAGGTAGGAGCCAGGAGCCCCTGCCTCATCCCTCTGCCACAAACATCCTGGCGAGGTGAGTGCCTAGGGATGGAGGGCTGTGGGAGTCTACAAATCCTCAATACAGGCTGCTCCATCAGTGTGCCCCGCTTTGCCTTGCCCTGCTCAGCTGGCAGGGCATGGGGCGTGAGACCCCCAGCCCTTAAGAGAGTGCCCCAGTCCTGCAGGAGGAAACAGTCCAGTGGAGCCCGTCCAGGGCAAGCCCAGCCAGGCTTCCCAGGACGGCCGCGAGAAGTCGCTGGGAGCCCGGGGGGGTCGCCTGCTTTGCCCACCACGGTGAGAGAGAAGCTGCAGAGGATCACACCCATGCTCCTGAGCCACTCCATTTTGGAGCCATCTGCTCCGTGCCGCAGAGGGAGCAGACACGCAATGAAGATGTGTGGTCGCAATCAAATTACCCCTTAAAAGAAATAACAATAAATTCCGGACTTCCCAATTACAGGGGACAGGCAAACCTTGGAAGCCATTAAAAGCTGCTGCTCCTGTTGATGAATGATCCGGAGCGCACAGAGCTATTTGCTGAGCTTTACTGTATTACACTAATTATAAATTAATATATTGCTCATTACGCACTAAAGCTGTGTAGTCAACTCATGCCCTGCTGCAAGGAAGCTATTTTAAACCGGCCTTGGAGTTTTTATGATCTAGATGTTTAATTTACTTTCGAATGGGTTCAAATGCCACCGAAGCCTCGTTCTGCGAGCTGTCCCATGGCCGGAGCAGCACTGCAGCTCAGGGGAAGCTCCCGGCCAGCCTCCCCCGGCTCTCAGCCTTGGCAACGCGGTGGAGCTGCGGGCCGGGAGGACGGCACTGAACGGTCCCACCGCAACCGATGAATCAACGTGGCACCTCCTACGGGCTAATGGCAGGGAGAGTCCTACTGGAACAGGGCTGTCCATAGCCCTAGACTGGTGGGCCCTGACTCGGAGGCCCCTGCTTTCTGTCCCACACGTGCACACACGCACCGCACCCGCCTGGCCCTTTGCATCGCTTCCCCTCCAGCGCCGCTCCTGGGCACACTCTCTTTTGCTGCATGGGGCCGAGTGGAGTGTTTCCCTTGCAAAAAAGCTGGGGAGGTTGAAGGAAAGGAGGATTTTTGTCTGTCTCCACAGACTCTGGACACTTGGCAGGGTTGATAAGCAACTGCCCAGGAGCTCAGCCCACCCTGCTAGTGCCCCAAATATCCCCTGGGCTGTCCTGTGATGCTGTACACCAGGAGGAGTGTGGCTCTAATAGCTGCTGCAGTGGTGAGAAGGGGACACTTCTGGCCAGCCAGCATGCAATATCTCTTGCCATGGGATGCCAGAGGGTGCCAGCAGCATGGAGCCGGGATGGGCAGGCGTTACCACCACACAGGAGCCCTCGCAGCACCACACACCGGTGGCA